CCACCCTAAAAACTGATATAAACCGCTATTTTTATTTTCTTGTAATTCAATAATGTTCATTAAAACAATTTTACCATAAATAATTCTATCACAAATCTCGAAATATAAAAATAAACAAAGTCCATAGTCAATATTGTGTTTTTTGTGACACCTTCTGTAAATGATCTAAACGACGTATTGAAAATCTAAAAACGAATGATATCGATTCGATCTTGCTATATTCATCTTGCATTTAAACGACTATCTTCTGATGTTCCGTTCCTGAGATAATTGCAACAAAAAATGGCAGCTTTTAATCCATAATGTCAAGAAAGTAAGAAAGAAAACTCGAGAAGGACTAAATAAATACTTTGCTTCACATCCCATTAATAAGACACAAAATCATAATTTTCTTCATTGTTCACGCTATATGTGTTGACTTTGGTTTCAATTCATATAGATGTATATAGATAATAAAAAGTAATGAGCTAATACCAAACTATAGAAATCGATAGATACGTAATATTATTAGTTATTATTTTGTCATTGAAAATCATCTGGAAAAAACATTCATATCTCAATGTCAAACAAATTTCTATATAATCTAGTTGACATTTCTAAAATAAATGTCAATCGACATCTTTGCATTTTTCATACACATCAGTCTATTGATATAATAATCTACTGTGTTGTAGTATATTCTCAATAAATCTATATTACTATAATATACTAGAAAAGAGTAACTTATGCCCTTGATATGTATATTCGATAATATGTCAGAAGTAGGTATACGTTCTATGATTGATCTGTTATTTTAGAATTTTATGATGCTTTTATAAGATGTAGTTTTATTGATTTCCGATAGATTTATCAATCATCATTGTAAATATATTTTACATCTCATCCTCACTTTCAACTATTAATAAAATTTATTTGTACAGTTGTTTTTATTGTTGTTGTTGACATGTATAAATTATATATAATATATTTCAAAAATGACTACGGCTTTTTCTATATACGCATTAATGAAAGACGAGATGTCTGTAAGAGAATATAAATATTTGACTACCTGGTATAATATATAGCTAACAAAAAAAGAATGAATTTCTCTTTGAGACTTGTTGAACTTGCTAGTAGCATGTGTATAAGCAAAATGATATTATCGAGTTATGTATAATATGTTAGTATCTTGTTTTAATCTATAAGTGTGATAAAGTTGTATGACACATGATTAGCATAAAAATCGAATAGATTAATCAATATATTCTCTTTTTTTTCTTTTCTTAGTTAATCTATCGTAAAATCTCTCTACATTTGCCAATCATTTCTTATTTTGATTGAAAAACGATGCTAAATAAATGCGCAGTTTCTCTCTCTCCCTCTTTTATTCTTCGTCGTGGATCAATAGTAAATAGACATATAATACGCACGTACGCATACATATATTATCATACTACTATATTGTAGATCATCTTCGATAAACACATATATTTATCTTGACCATACAAAAAGTTTTCAAAGTTCTCTGCTTATACGTAAGTATTAGATATATAGATTATTGTCGAGGTAGTATCTAAACTCTTATTTTTAGTGTTGGAATAATATTACAAATAATGATTAAATTTAGTTATTCAATTCTTCTGTTATCGGTTTTAACTTTGGTTTATTCATATCCTCATTCAAATAATTATGATCGTTTTCTTGATATGTATCTCAAAGAACGATCGGCAATCATGGATAAACTGAACCATGTGAATTCAAATGAAGAACATATAGTTCGTCGACAAAATATGTATCCACCTATGATGCCTATACAACAATATGCGCCACAAATGCAGCCAGTGTGTCTCCCAAATATATGGACTTGTGGACCGGGTTTACCTCCATGCTGTCCTGGTCTAATGTGCTATGATGGTAATGCAAAACGTGGTCGACATTGTTTGGCTCGTGGCTAATATTTTACACTTGACTAACAGACATATTACAACATTAAAATGAATTGTATGTCTTGTAATAAGCATAATATACAATAAATTTCATAAGAGTAAACCTGCGTTTTATTCCCTGTTAATCTTTTAAGTATTTTTCAAAGTCTTATATAGGATAAAGTGTTCAAAAACTGAATTAAATACAATCATTGAATACTAAATTGCAGTCAGTATTACACTGATACTGACATAGGTGTAGTGAACAGGTTTTATATACTTAAATTTGCTATTCTATTCATAATGTATTTCGACGATGTTACAATTGTAAAGGGTTGGAGATCCAGAGGTACCTAAAATGAGAATACTATTTTATTCTGTATACACAATAAGTTGATATGATCGTAATAGATGTAAAGTATGACACTGAGTGTAATTTAATATTAATACAACACTATGGTTATATCATTTTTATATTAATATAGAAAATATCAAATTATTTTTTTTTATATCCTACTATTAAAATTAATGGTAAACTAATATCTTTTGAACAAATGGATTTGCCGATATATTTAACCATAAGAACTTATTAATAGAAAAAGTCATTAATATGATATAATAAACAATACTATTTCGTTTAATGACAACCGTTGAGTTATTTAATATTTGGTTTTATTCATTTATGTAAGACTGATTAATTAATTCATTTTTATAGAGAGAAAAAAAGTCAATATCTCAATCTTTCAATATTGTCTGATTCATCGTTGTTTTTATAGGCATATAAGTAAATATTGACATAACCATTTCATTTGGACTTTGGTTTGACATTGAATAATTTGATTATATTCAAAGATTCGGCCAGTAGCAAATGTGCGGAAGAAAAAAGAACTGATTGTCACTTATCGTAGTGGTTGTGATAGATATAGATTGTTTGGTGAAAGAAAGGCAGAAAAAATATTGCGTCTTACTCATTTAATCTAGCCTCTAGATAATGGACGGATATTAATATAATAAACTCGTTTCGTTTGAATTTTTCTTCATAAAAACAACATAATAATTGATAAATAATTTAACCAGTACGAGGGATTTGACTGACAATTGCGTATCTTCACGTCGCTATGTCTTCTTTTTTTATACGTACCAACAATATATAGGACAACGCTCGTGAAATATCACCTAATTATATATCTTGTAATCAGTTGAAAATCAACAAATAGATCGTACAGAATATAACATTTTATTGAAATAATTAACCGATTGTAGCCATTTGTAAACTTGCTCCATCAATTATTAAATTTCGTCTTCGCCATTTATGTAATTTAACACGAATCACTTTTTTTAATTCTGGTAAAGAAATTAAACAAACAAACGGAAGAAATAATTGAATAAAATAAATTAAATAAAAAAATATATTAAATTGAATATCAATTAAAAATGTTGGAGAAAAATATTGTTGAATTAAACCTGTAATTGCAATTGGTAACCAAAATATAAGAAAAAGTGATGAAATTACAAGTAATTGTACAGTCATTTTTCGATTCTTTTTTTTTCGTTGAATAGTAATTCTTACACTAGTTGAACGACATGTTACTCGAATTATTAATATTATATTTACTAAAACAATTGAAAATGCTGGTATAATTATATTTATTAACCAATCTATACTACCAAGAATTTTATTTTGATAAAAACATGGCGAAGTACAAAGTAATTCATAATAATCCCAAGTATTAGCACAATTATATATAAAAATCACATAACCATAGAATGTTGGTGTATATAATGTTGCTATACTAAGCGGTAAATAATGAAAAACAATACATTTCCATCGAATTTGATAAATAGATCTAGTAAAAATTAGAATATGACGTTCAATTGTTGCCCAAAACACTAAAATTTATAAATAATTAATGAAATCTTGTTTTTTTTGTTAAGCAAAATGAAGTTAACTTACTAACAAATAAACTAATACCATTTAAAGAAAATTCATACCAATTAAAAAATAGACAATAACTATTATTGGATGGTTGTACAATACCAGTACGTAGATAACTTTCTACCATAGATAATTCCGTTGTTACTTGAATAAAACTTGTTATTAATAAAACGAAAATAAAATGATTTCCTATTGGTTTTATAAATTTTAATGGTTGATGTATAATATTAACAAATATAAATAGAGAACATAGAATTGATATTATTTGACAAGATAATAAAATAATAAGTTTTATATAACGATAATCAGATATAGTAGTAGTATTTGTATTGTTATTGAGAAGTTCGGAATTATTGATATTACGTAGCCATATTATTCTTGTACTCATCTTTTTTGTTTACGATGTACACGAAGAGGCATGAATTTATATAGAACGTCGTTATATTAATAAAGGAAAATAATCATGCTGTCTTCCGTTGATAATGATAATCTCCTAATGTTTATTTGAAACATAAATCCATAGTAACTGATATAGTATCATGAGATTTAGATGATAAAAACTAAATGAATTGAACCATGAATAAAATTACAGTGTTGTATCTAAATGTGACTTTTTGCGCATTACGTGTCACCGACAGAAAAAAACTGTCTAACCGTGCTTGTTTAGTGAGTCGATAACTGTTACCATCTCATCATTTTTTCTGAGCGAGCCTGAAAAAAAGAAATTTTGTTGTCTCAAATAAACTTTAAAAACTACTTTTGAAGCATAAACATAGTCACTATGGGAAATTGCTATTCTCTCTCTATTATTCTCAATTCATCATTCACATAGAAAATGTAATTAAAAGAGACTTTCTAGCATGAAAATTTAATTTCTACACTCTTTTGTTTTAAACTGCTTTAAGAAAATATATATTCTATCCAAAGACGAAGTAAAAATTGTTGATACTGCAATAAATGAATTCTAAATTATTATATTCCTATAGAAATAAAAGAATATTTTATAATTTATATTCTACTTATGGAATTAAATAAAGATTTTTGTCATTACACTCCAAAAGATCTCACGCTGTTTTTTCGTCGGAAATAAATGGGATCATTATTTTTTTATGTCTGTTAGAAAACCAAACGTAGGAAATCATGATAGACATAGGTACATATGACTTTTGATGGAGTAGCAGGTTCTCATACAAAAACTTGTATTATTTTAATGAATATTTCTCAGTTAATGCATTTTATTAATGCGTACTGCTAAATATATCTTCATTTACGTTGTTAATTAGTTCTTTTTTGTATGAATTCACACAAAGATTCTTCCAGTTAAAAACCTACGATTATAAATTGATTCTATTATGTTAACGGAAATCGTGAGTAATAACACTTCAATTATTTACTAAAATTCCTCTTATATTTGTAGATTAATTAACATAGATATGATATAGATAAAAAAATTTGGCCTAGTAACATAGTAGTCTACTGTTTTATAATCAAAACATACTAATTAGAAGACTTTCTAAAGGAATCACTTTATATCTAAATATGCAGTGAATTCAGAAACTTATAATAAGTAGACTGAGTTAAATATTTAGCACAGTTCTACTTGTGAACATCTATAAATAAGATGCATTATCTTTTATATATCAAATTACAATAGTGAATAATCTTCTATGACTTATCATTTAGTCATATAAATTAAGTATAACGGTAATTGAAAGATTTAGTTTTGTTTTTTTACATCACACTTTATTATTTCCTTCTTGAAAAATTATCATGAATTTAAAAAAATACATGTAAACTGATTCATAATTATATCCTAGAAAGATTTTTTCACTTCATTTCTTTCCTATTTACATCAAGACTGATAACTGAATTTTTCCAGAAAAATAATCAAACTGTTTCATATTAAAACGACGAAAAAAAAACGTGTTTGAAGTAACATATACAAAACAATAGATAAAAGACGTCAATGATACTGACAACAATCATCAAAAAGAGAAAAAAAAAAAAGAACAGCGCAAATAAATATTGATTGATCTTGATAATAATGACGACAATATTGCACAGCAAAAAAGAAAGAAACAAACATAAAATAATAGGAATGCTTTTTTTTGTGTTCTTTTTTTTTGCGTCACCTTCATAGCTATTTATTTTAGGATGATTTGTCACCATCAGAATCTTTAAGTACATGCCATTGAGCAATAGGTCTTCGAGGCGAAGCAAGCATATCGGTCCAATGACGTAGTTCAGTACCAGTTGAATTACAACCTAAAACAACTTTTCCAATTGGTTCCGATGTACCAATACGATCATAATCGACAACTGTAACTTGTAATTGTATTTTCTAGAAGAATACTTAGTTATATTAATAGATTTTTTATTGTATTAATAACTAACCTGAACTTGTTCGAATGGTACGTCGAATGTAAACGATTCATTATAATATGGATTTAATGTACATTTTTTGATTGATGTTTTCTTCTTTTTTATACGTTTTCCATTCATCAATATTGATAATTTAACATAAGGATCTAAAATCAAAAATAAAATCCATTCCATATGTTTTCGTTATGATATTTTTTTGTTTCTTATCATACCAGAAAGTCCACCAACATCCATCTTTTTAAGATTTTTAGCTTCCAGTATCGTAATTGTCAGTTTGCCAGCTGTTGGAACATATCGAAGAGAAAAACAAATGTCACCTAATTTGTTTTCCTAAATAGAACAAGAGATATCTATCAATAAGACAAAAAAGAAACAAAATGTATCTTTAATCAAACATACTGCTTCTCGTTCACCAGCCGGTGGTATTAAATCTTTTATTTCTCTTATAACTTTTCCTAGATCAACTGTATTTAATGGAATCAATACTTCACCAATTTGATCATGTCGAGAAAAACGATCGAAATCATAAACAGCAAAAACAAGTGTTTTACTACCGATGTCACCATATGCTAAATTCTAGAAAGAAAGAAAAATAAATAATTTTTGTTTACAAAATCTATTTTTGTAACTAACTTTAAATATAAATGTTTCATTAAAAACAGGATTTAATGTTTTTCGATAAACTTTTGTTTCAAATTTTTTCTTTTTATCTGGTAATACATATACTTTAACATATGGATCAGATGTTCCACTTAAATCCATAGGTGGCAGTTCTTGTGCTTGAATAACTTCAACTTTAAGCTAGAAAAATAAAAGTATTTTAAAAGAAATCATTTAATAATCAAAATATCATACTTCTTGTTTTTGAAAATCATAATCAATTGAATATTCTATTTTACCCAAATTGATAATTTCATATTTTTGTGAAGTTCGATCTTCATCTTCCATATTTAATGCTAATTCATCCATGTCCGGTTGAACCTGTGGAGGATATTCAATGTCAATTACTACATATTCATTATCGACAATACGTGTCAATATACGAAGAGGCTTTTGAAAAATATCGTGACTCGTCATGCGTAGTTTTTGTGATAAAATGAATACGTTATCTTACCTTTTCTTTATATAAACTAAACGCCTTCACGGCGTGTAGATCAATTCCTTTGCCACCTCTTTTTCCTTTCTTGACGTATATTTTTCGAAATACGCGACGAATAAACCAAAGTAAGCATACGCTTAATATGATTAGTACAACGATTATAATAATGATAACAATCCATGGCGACACTATGCATTAAATAAAAAGAAAACGTTACATTACATATTCAAACAATCAATCTTTTTCTCGATTTAATATTTCTTCTATGATAAATTCGTTTGAAAAGCATCAAAAAAGAGTTTTTTTTTTTTAATTAATACACAAGCAGATATATAATGTTACTTCTTTATTAAAACAAATCGTTTTTCTATTATATATTCAAAATAATTGGTAATCACTTTATATTCCTATGTCTTAGGTAAGAATATCTCTCATCATGATAATAAAATCATAGAACAAGATATTGAGGAAAGAGATCTATTAAAGAACAAGAAGAAGAAAAAAAAATTATTTCGGTTTTTCTTTTTTTTGTTAGTTTTTTTCCTTCTTGTTATTATTATATATCAAGGATCATAACATACTCGAGTAACGTGTTTGTGTCTCTTTTTATTAATCAACAGATAACATAATTTCTAGTCGCGTATTGACTATCACGCATTATTTGACTTCAGTGTGCAAAGAGACAAAAAAAAAATGTCCAGACAAATAATAAACAGTACAGAAACAAGGGAACAAGCAGCAGAAAAAGATATGTATGAAGGAAACAAAAAAAAAAGAAGAAAGAAATTCTTTCATAACAAGTGGAGAATATACATATGTATAGTTCTGTTTTATGTGTTTAATGATGTGTGGATTGACTTTGACAGAATGACGAGTACTCTATAAACCAACACGACTATAGATCTATTTACAGGTTAATTCTTCAATAATAAACATTTCTCAATTTTATTTTTGTCAGATGGCAAATGTTAATTGCATCAGTATAGATTAGTATCTCATAATGACTTATATTCTGTATCAAATAGGCGATATATATATATGTTAAAAAGAAAATAGAATTAGGATATGAGTTTTATTTCTCTTTTAACTAAATTAAATATTCAAATATCTTTTTTATTTTTTTGTTTGCTTACAAATTTTTTGTATCGAGTATTAGTATAGATAAATATATATTTATCTTTGGGCAGAATATTGGAAAATGACAACCATTACATGAGATAGTATCATCAAATATGAATGTCTGTGTCTATCATTAGGCTATCTATGTTATTCTAATCTTTTCCTTTTAACAGATTCTTGTTTCTATATACTTACTCGGAACTTTTTTTATAACTTCTTCGCCAATTGTTTTAGCCTTGTCATATGGACTTTCGGTAGTTGTCGATGGATAGTCAATTGATGAAGGAATAGAAACGGATGATTCATCATCATCACCATCTTCTTCATAAGTATCTTGTTGCATTTCGTCATCGTTTGATATTGCCTCTTGACGACGCATATATCGATGACGTAAAATACCCATATTATATATTTTATCTTGAAATAAATGATAAAAATTATGAAGTGATAATAACTGAAGATGAAAGAAAAAATAATTCTACTTACTAGCTTTTTTTTGTTCTAGTAACTTTCGATATTTCTATCTATTTGTTCCTCATAAAAACAAGGTTTTCTATCTTTTTGTTGATTAATACTATAGACAGTAAACTATTCTTTTTTTCTTTGTTGATTTGAAAAAAACAAAAATCTCGTTATAAATCCTGTTAATGAATGACTAGAGACACGTAAATCAGAAATAGATATAAAGAATAAAGAAGAACAAGAAGAGGAAGTCAAAAGAGCATAAGTTATAATATAAAGCTAGATGGAATGTGGTCTATTGCAGAATGAAATAAATAGATTGAGAATGATAACGAGAAAACAAAAAAAGAGATTAATACTCGATGCACTTCCTACTATTCATAATCACGAAAATGAATGGAATCTTTTCTAAAATGAAAAATATGCTTCTTCCTTTTTCTATTGTTTACATATGATAAGATTTTGCCAAAAATAGGTCAAACCCATCAACTTACATACCTTTTCACACTTACAATTCTATCTACAATGAATATATCTCAGAATACAATGTATGTGATTTAACTTAATGTTTAATTTATTGGCTATATGATAGATATATTAAGTAGATACATCGAATGACTAACAGTAGTGCTTAATTCGTACTCAAAACAAGAATAGTTAATTTTTCTCGATTTCTTTATCTCGGTAACCTTGATTTTTAGTAGAAACAATAGTTAATGAGAGAAGGAAATAAATGAACATTTTTTTTCTACTGTTTTATGTTGGTATCTTACAGACAAGCAAAAACGACAACTACACAACTCGCTATAAGTGGGCGTGTTTGTTCTCAATATTGGCGTTCTCTCTCTCTTCTGCCTCCTCCATCTCTTGTTGTAAGCGCACGTACCCACAATTAGTTCGAAGCAGAAAAAGTAATGGAATAAGTCGTCATCGTTTTTCTTTTCCTTGTCTTCTCATCATAGTTTATGTTGTAACTATTGTAATTCGAACAGCAGATCATATGTTATTATCAGTTCTTTAGTTAATCATAGAGTGTTCAAGTAGTACAACTGTTTTTTTTGTTCTATCTGGCATTCCATATGTACACCAAAGAAATTAAGATATTAAACACTCGTAAAAAAATATAATAAAAGTTACGTCACCAAGTACGAAGAAAATATCTTTCTCTATTTCATTAATCAATCAACGATTAGAATATTGAAGTAAATCTAGACAAAAGAGCAACCATTTCGATGAATACAAAGGAAAAATGACTGAATAATAATGAACTCGAGATAATGATAAGATAAATATATATATATACTCTTTATTCACATAATACAGATCTTTTAACGGAAAGACTGTCTAATTATAACTTCAGAAGAACAGAAAAAAATGTGCATCTATTAGTTTTTTTTAATACTTATTATTTACTAACACAAGATTCTTTTTTCTTAAAAGAGATCATAAGTGAGAGACTCAATATTGATGTATATTATCTTCAATCTATTCTTATGGGTTAATTGAAATTCTTTTTTGGATACTTAACTTACCAAATATAAAAATACAAATGATCTTTCGAATGTATTATATATATTTAATTAAAAAGCTATTGAATACGAACTTTGAGCATGAGTTATTTTTGCAATCAAAGAATCTTATACATGCACATTAGTGCTAGACAATTATTCGGATAAGATATCCAGAAGACTCAATTGCACTCTATTTATCATAAAATTTATCTCATACATAAAACTTTAATGACTTTTTGGTCTATTTCATTCATTAAAATAATTGAAAACAAATATAAAGTGAATTAATTTGACATCTTCTATACTTAAGTGATATAAAACAATCGACAATATATCTAATGTTTGAAAAACAAGAGACAAGTTATTACATTCATTTAATTACATTCTTTTTCTATATCCTAAAAATGTTAACCTTTTTAACGTAGAATTTACATTCATGAGAACTAAACTTAATCCTAATTTAATCTTCAAGAATGTTCGATTAAAATAATTTTATTCGAAATAACAAACAAGAAAAAAGAGAAAATAATTTTTCTAAATATATATTTTATTTAATATACAGATTAATATTTCTAATAACTACATTACATAACAAAATTAAATATTTATAGTCTTATATCAGTTATAGCTGATCCTGATGATTTTATAACTGATAATGTTCCTGTTGCATCAAATGGTGCTCCATATATATGATCATTGATCCATCCACCTTTTTTTGAAGCACTTAAATAATTTTTTAAATGATCAAGATGATAATCAAAACCATCTTCTGCATTTATTCGTGGTAATGGTATATGATTAAATCTATAATCCCAAATACTTGCATATTGAAAACGATATGATCCAAATGCAAACATTGTTCCAATAATTGCTCCTGCTAGAATATCATACCAATGATGATAATGATCAATTGTTAATGTAGCAGCAATAAGAACAGCACCAAGTATAGGAGCATAAAAAAGAATTAATTTCCAATATTGTGGACGATAATTAGCAAAAATTTTTAATTTACCATTAAGATATAATGAACAATAGATAAGACCAGCAAATGCGGCTGTTGAATGACCAGATGGCATTGATTCAAGTGAATCATTGATTTGTTTTTTATCACCTGTACATATTGAACGATCAAACATAATACCATCAAATCCAGTACCTGAACCATAATTTGCTGCATTTATATATGGTTTACATGCAGCAAAAAAATGTGGTCGTAAACCACCAATAAGCCATTTAATAAATACTTGAAAAACAGCAGCGGATATTAAAGAAAAAAGAAGACCCATTATAGCTGTATTTGTATCATTAAAACTACGAAGACGTATTTGCATTAACATAATAAATATAAATGGAATAATAAATGCTAATAATGCAGCTAACCATATTGGAATAATATCTTTTTGATATGGATAACTAAATTCTGGATTAACTATTTGACCATTAGCGAAATAAACAGGAAAAACACGATTAGGTGCTGGTGGAAGATAATAAATACCAAGACCAAGTGCACCCATAATAGCCATTAAAAGATAATCCATCCAAAACGTATGAAAATAGAGTCGAAATGTCATCGATTCATTTCTAGATCTTGTTATATCATTTTGAGGATTGTCAAGATCTGTTTGTTGCATAACAATTACTGAATCTTGGCTTTTATTCATATCTTCGTATGTTTAAACGTTGTGTGAACAAATCAACTGAATATATCTATATTGATGTATATGATATTACTTTCGTTACGACGAACCCTCACACTAAGAGAAAAAGAATACGAAATACACACGTCTTTCGTTCTGTTGTGAACAAAAACGACGGAAAGTAATCATTTGTATTTTATTTTGCGTGTTCCGCCCTTCGTGTCAATATTGTATTATCGAAAAGTTATGTAGTAAAAATATGATAAATGACAAAAGATTACTTGTTTACTTAGAGATTAAGAGTCACGTTTTACATTCTTAATTTAGTAACAATTAAATAAAAACAAACAAACAGACTAATGAAATCTCTCATATTTCTATTTTTATATATAAATAATATTTTTAACTTATTCAAGATTGATCGAGTTACTCGAACGTTTTTTTATTATCATATATAAAATATTCACTGAAATGAATCATTGACAAACAGAAAAATGACATTTTATTATGATTAATATATTTATAGTACATGATCAAAAAATAATAATTATATTTATCTATATAAAAAACAGATGACTGCAAAAATAATCTAACATTAATTATTTATTTCATGATTTCATAAATGTCTTGTCATACTTTATTTTAAATACTGTCTATTTTATACAATTATTATTTAGTGCTCATATTCAACAATTTGAAAGATAATCAGTGAGAATACCTATCAATCTAATTTACGTGAAAAAAACAAGAACTTTTTATAGGTAGTTGTTTATGAAATAACTCTAGTAATATATATATTATGTCTATGCAAAGAAACACTTGAGTCTAAAGAAATAATCCATAGGTAAACAATATATGAAAGCCTTCATCGACTACGTATATCATTGTGATTTAATCGAGTTTATTTGTAAAAATCGATGAAACTTCTTACTTAAAATTCAAACAATATCTATATTTATCTCAGAACATAAGTTAAAATTATATATTATATTTTTGCTCGCATATTTTGGAAAATCTTAATTACAGTTAGATTGTAATTATGTAGAATGTTCGAAATGAACTGAAACGATCTTATTTATATTCAAATAAGTCTTTATATACAGAAATATTTGTTCTCTTATTCTATGTTTTCCTAAATTGATATATAAATAAATAATTATTACCGCTTGTTTATAATAGTCTTAATCTCATCAATTAAATATGATAATGTATTTAACAGCATAGGTTTAACATTGTATATGTAATAATGTTCACGTAAATGTATTTCTAGATGATAGGTTTTTTGTATTTGTATCAAAAACTCTTAGCTAAAATGCATTCCTATTGACGTGTCATGTTCGTAGATTGTAACTTTGAAAATTTTGAATTGTTTTGCTGTTTATTACGTGCATGTTACATAATGATTATTGTTTACATTAAAAATTTTCAATAATATTTTGATAATTCAAAAAAACAAGAGAATGGCTTGTATAATGTTCGAATGAACTCAAAACGTTACATAATATGAATGAAATAACCACTTCACTAAGATGACAATGAACATTTCAAAAAGGTGCACTTACATTCTATTACCTTTCATACATAGAATAAGTCAAGCATTGAGTCTGTGTAAACAGTCTTTTATGTCTCGTTACCACCCCATTAAAGAACAATTCATGTCAATCGCTTCTGTATATTTAAAAGAAAGAAAATTTTTCATAACAATAATCACCCGGGCATATATTTCTGCTAAGAAAATTGATCAAAGAAGAGAAAATAACAATTAAGACAATTTCAAATGTTATGTTTGCAGATTAGAAACCTGTCCACCGAAGATCAAATGAAAGAGATTTTCAAATGCTCAATTATAAGCTTCACAATATTTTGTATATATGTTCATTTTATGAAAAAAACTTAACAATAAATATAATAAAAATAAATTATTTATTATGTAAGACATTTTGGTACTTTATTGTCAATTCTATCGTTATTTCTACGTAATATAAAAGATATAATAGAAAAACAGTATATTATATGAATAAATCAAAATGGACTAGCACAATTTAGAGAGGACACACCAGTAGAAATTTTTTCTTTTGTTTATATAAACCATTAACAATGTCGCAGACATAGAAAAGAAAAGAAAAAGAAATATAGATGTATGTTCGCTGAAATATATTCATATGTTTATTGACCTCGTACTCGATAGTGTATAGCTCGGCCATTGACACTAGGCTAAGTTAGTCACACAAAATTGATCAGGTTAATTAACATTATTCGAATAAAACTTAGTTTAGAGTTTTTTTCTATTCAATCATGTCAAATAATACTGTAACGATGCAATTAGATAATATGCGAAAGAAACGACCCATTGTAAGTAATTTATCTATAATTCAACCACATAAAATACCATTAAATGAACTCTGTCAACAATTAAATCTACTTGATATACGATCTGGTTTAACAACAGATCAAGTAACTGAAGCTCAAACACAGCATGGATTAAATCAACCGGCTCCTGTCGCAGAACCCGGCTATATACATTTATTTATTGTTCAGACATTTACTGGTTTTAATGCATTATTATGGATTGCTGCTATATTTGCTTTTCTAGCCTATAAACCATTTGGAAATCCAACACCAGATCCAACTAAGTAAGAAACGAACAAAGAAAATTCTTTTTCTTTTAATTTTTATTGAGAAAAGAGAAAAAATAAGAAGATTTTCTCTATAGTTTTGGTCTTGGTGTTGTATTAACAATGGTTATTATTGCCAATGCAATCTTAAATGTATATCAAAAAATGAAATCACTTAAAATAATTCGTTCATTCGGTCAAATTTTACCAAAATTAACAACAGTTCGTCGTAATAATGGTCGTGAACAAGAAATTTTAACAACAAATCTCGTACCAGGTGATATTATTCTATTACATATTGGCGATAGAGTTCCTGCTGATTGTCGTATAATATCATGTGAAAATCTTAAAGTTAATAATGCTGAATTAACAGGAGAATCAAAACCACTTAAATGTACAACAGTTGCAACAAATGAAAATCTTTTAGAAACAGCAAATATGATTTTCTATTCTGCACTTATTGTTGAAGGAAGTGGTGAAGCTATTGTTGTTGCTACTGGTGATCAAACAGTTTTAGGTCATGTCAGTAAATTAACACGTGCATCCAATACAGACGAAATAACTGGTCTTCATCGTGAAGTAAATCGATTTATATTATTCGTTCTTTGTTGTACAGTTATATCAATTATACTTATATGGATAACATGGATGGTATGGTTACATCCAACCTATCCAGATTATATAACGTTTAATGCTAATGTTGTTAACTCAATTGGAATGATCGTAGGATTTTTACCTGTTGGATTGCCATCAGCAGTAACATTAGTTCTAGTTATTGTTGCTGTATGTATTTATAAAATTAAATATAGAAACGAAAGTTTTTGTTTGGTTTTTAGAAACATATGTCAGCACAACAAGTCTTAGTTAAGAGTCTTCAAACAATTGAAACATTTAATTCTGTTTCAATGATATGTACAGACAAAACCGGTACATTAACACAAAATAAAATGGTTTGTACGCGTTTATTATGGGATATACATGAAGAATTTCAAGTACCAACAACAACAAGTATTTCATACGATAAAAAAGAATGGAAATCACTATTTGGTACACTTGCAAGACGTTTATCAATTGCATCAGGATCTCGATTAGCAACACCAATGGATAGTTTAAGTGTTGGAGATTCATTATCAACAAGAAGATTCGAACTCGATCAAATTAGTCCACAGATAACACCTCAACGAGATTTAATATTAGGTATTATAATAATATAGAAAATATTAGACATTTGAAATTTAGAAAAATACATATTTTAGTTGTGAGCTAGTGAGAATAGAAGTTTTCATTTCTGATATATGACTAATCCTATCTGAAATTTATTTATATAATTAAATAAATTCTTTTACAAATTATAGGAGCATGTTTATGTAATAATGCTGAAAAACGTTTACAAGAAAATCAACAAGAATTACAAGTTAGTGGTGATGCAGCTGATATCGCTCTTTATAATTTATGTGAAAGTAAATTTAATATTGATGTTGAACATATACGTCATCAATATCCACGAATACATTGTTTACCATTTAATTCTACAAATAAATTTATGATTGTTGCTAATCAATTATCATCATCAAATCATCAATCGATATTAAATAATAAATCGAATGAAATTTTAATAACATTAAAAGGTGCAACAGATATTGTCTTAACACGTGAAAAATGTTTAACATATAAAACAAATACTGGTGAAATCAAAGAATTAACAGATGATATACGTCATCATATTATACATAGACAAGAACAAATGGGCAGTGATGGTTATCGAATTATTGCAATGCTTCAACAAACAATTGCAAAAAATGTATTTGATGAAATGTTACTTAATAAATCATCGGATGATCCGTCTGGTGCTTTTCCAAAAGATGGTTATACATTTATTGGCCTTTATTGTTTACTTGATCCGCCAAGAATTGAAGTACCTGATGCTGTACTTAAAGCTCGACAAGCGAAAATTCGTATTGCAATGGTTACGGGTGATCATCCGACAACATCAATATCTATAGCTAAACAAGTAAATATTTTAACTCCTGATATAATACAAAAAAATGGTTTTGATACATTTCAATTAACTGGTATGGATATGGCAACTGGTCGACCAATAGTTCAATTACTTCGAAATGGAGCTTTACTTGATACGCATGTATTAGGAACAGTAAATCGTCTTGAAGAAACAAAAAAGAAAACAACGAAAATTCAATTAACTAATGATGAAGAAAAAAATATACCTGTCTCATGGATTAAACGTGCATGGGAATATGTAAATTTTTATTTTTCTGATCCAAAAGAGACAACTGATCGAGATAAAAAACAATCTTTAGTGCCATATGCTATTGTTGTTAAAGGAAGTGATATTCCTTATAGTATGTCATGCAAAAAGCTTTCTTTTCTCCATAGTTATCTTTATGAAATTCTTCTTTTTATCTAGTGGATGAATATATGTGGGATTGGGTATTATCACATCAAGAATTAATATTTGCAAGAACATCACCAGAACATAAATTACGTATTGTTATGGAATGTCAACGACGTGGTGAAATAGTAGCTGTAACAGGTGATGGAACGAATGATGCACCTGCGCTAAAACGTGCTGATCTTGGTGTTGCAATGCAATCAGGTTCTGATGTATCAAAAGAAGCAGGTGATATGGTTCTAATGGATAATAATTTTTCATCGATTATAAAAGCAATTGAAACAGGTCGATTATTAAGTGATAATTTAAAGAAAGTATCAATTTATTTGTTACCAGGAGGTAAGAAAAAATGATTTACTAAAAATAATATACGACATAGAGAGTTTTTTAATAGTATTGTGGAGTATATTTAAACTTATGATAAAAAAAGGTTCAATATAGCGCACAATCAGAAAAACTTTCTCATTAAAAAATCAGATGAATGTATGTTTGAATACTTTGCTTAGACTTCAACCTAAATTACAATTCCTGTACGGTTCGAGTTTGAATATAGATCTGACATATGACTATTCTTTATTTTAATAAAGGCTAAGAAACTACTCAATACTCACACAAGAGAGAGTGTGTGTGATGGTGGTATCTAGTTATATATTTACGATAACAATTGGATTTAGTTTTACTGATAAAACTATAAGTCAGAAAAATTAAATACAAATTAAAATATTTTAATCTGACCTGATTGAAACACAGACATTTGGATGGATAGTCCGTGAGAATGCGGGTAATAGTTCCATATTCACCCATCATCATTCGCCACACACCTTCACTCTCACTGTAACATGAACCATCAACCAGTCCGCTACGAATAATTTGGTTGAAAGCTTTATTTTGACTTAGTTGAGATTAAAATTTTAATCTGACCTAGTTCGATTTAAAACTGAACTGGAGTTTAATCTGTCCTGCATATTATAAGAAGAGTTTTTATTCTTTAAATGATTTATTATTCTCTAGGTTCTTGGTCTGAAATTTGGCCTGTTCTATTTAATACATGGCTTGGTATACCATTGGCTTTATCCGCTTTTCAAGCAACAATATTTTGTATGATGAATGGTAATTTATATTTTTTTGATTTTTATATCTAAAATAATAACTATATTTTTTTCTGAATTCTAGATGTATTTATGTCCTTAGCAATGGTATCTGAAAAAGCTGAAAAAGATATTATGCATCGTCCACCAGCAATTCGAAATAAATCACATTTATTAAATTTAAAATTACTTTTTCATGCATATATAATAATTGGTAATATTGAATGTTTTGCTGCATTTTTTTGTTTCTTTTGGTGGTATTATGCAAATGGTATTCCATTATCAATGATCTTTTTTAAATATGATAGTTTTGAAAAACAATTTTCACCCGATAAACAAAAATTATTACCAACAATAAATCAAACAGGTCAATGCATTTATTATGTTGCTTTATGTATAATGCAAATTTTTAATTTATTAACAACACGTACACGCTATGCATCGTTCTTTACACATAATCCATTTTGGTCTCGTTATAGTCGAAATTTATGGTTAATTGTTGGAATAATTGCATCAGTATTGACATGTGCTCTCATAACTGAAGTTCCATTTATGCAACATCAATTTAAAACAGAACGAGTACCAATATTATATGTTTTACCTGCATTTGGCTTTGGTTTATTAATGTTTATTATGGATGAATTAAGAAAATTATATATTCGACGAAATCCAGGCTGTTGGTTAGAACATATTGCTTGGTAATGATTATCTTCTGCATGTGTGTATTATTCTTCCTTTCGTAGTTCAAATAGTGTAGTTGTACTTAGCATTAAAAATATAAAAGATAATATTTATTCAATCAATAAAAATGATACTCATCAAAAAAAGAGTTTTAAATATAAAATCTATCCTTTTTTTTAAATTGATGTAACGTAAAACATGAAATCTATCTCACAAATTTTTATTAGATACAGAAGATAATATAATGCGAGCTATAAAATTGAAATGATTGCACTAGATTCTGATCCACACATTAATATCGATTATATAATATTAAGAAACACGTAATTCAGTAATATTTATTAGTAAGAAATTAAACTAATCCTTTTTATTTCCGTTGCGTGCTATGTAAATCAAAATTATTTCTATGGTTGATTTATAAGGTAATTATGTTTTTGGTCGACAGATTTTGGCGACACATCATTTCGTCAACACAACACTTCGTCGACACAACATTTTGTCGACAACACACTTTGTCGACTAAGCACTAACAGAAAGGCCAGCAAAAAGGCAAACGATCAAAAACATCAAGTTGATTTTTATAGAAAACTTTATTTAAATAACATAAATATCACATCATATATTTAATCCAAGAAACAACTAAGTACATAGAAATGAATGATAGGAACAGACTATTTCAAGATTTATGAACAGACATTAAGATCATGTATACAATTATTACTTTTTTTTAGCAATCAAAAGTGATAATGCTTCAAGGTACTCGTAGAGCGTGATCTCTTTCTTATTGTATTGATGAGTTAAATTTTCTAACCATTGCTGTATTTCACAGGATTTAGTATTGCCTTTCTATATTTTTCCCATCTTTACGTGTTGAATAGTTTGCTTTATATAAACCTCTTCATTCTGAAGAACTTAAATGAAGTGCCAGATATTATGCAAAGTTTTAATTAGAAATCAAGTCTGAAATTTTTCCCGGCAATGACTGAAACAAAAGAAATAAATGTCGACGAAATGTATTGTCGACAAAATTCACTGTCGACGAAGTGCATGTCGACAAAGTGATTCAACGAAATGTTTGTCGACGAAGTGCACGTCGACGAAAGTGTCTGTCGACTAAAAACATAGCATTCGTCATTGAGTATTGTTTCGTTTTTTTCCTTGTAATCTTATCAACCTTTATTTATGTTCATACTTGTGTTGATCTTATTATCAACAATGACATCAAAATATAAAGGATTAACTCTTTTTTTCTTCACCTACAATATATATATATAGACTTGTCTGCGTTCTTGGTATATGGTAATTTCCACAAGTATCGATAATATTAAGCAATGAAATAAAGATTTGAATATAATAAAATTGACAATGTTCATAATTAAATATACTTTCTAGACATTTACCTGAAAGAAATGGCGTATTTTTTTTGTCTTTTAAAAAAAGAAATGACAACAAATATTGACTGAAATCTTTTGATGACATTGACTTGCAGATCAAACAGGTTCCTATAGAAATAAATTTGATATCGTTTTAATTACAATCCTACGAAAAAATATTTGCAAGAATTATTATATTCAATTTTCGCTGACAACTACTAATAAAAATCACAGCGGTAAATTATGACGTTTCGACTACATTTATACACGTCTTACTATCAAGAAGCTCTTAAATATATATTATTCTTTTTCTTTTTTTTAACTGATGTTTCATCGTTTACAATATTACACATTATTTATTCGTCTATACATTCTCCCATTTATTAATAGACTACATAACATACGAATTCTCACGTAATTTCTTTTTTTTTAATATCACGAAAGAATTTCTATAAACTGTTTAAAATTAACCACAGTTATATTGTTGGTGAAAAATCATTAAATCATCTGTGTGTGTGTGTGTGTGTGTAATGACTTGTAAAGAAGACATGAAAACAATTTGTACACACAAGCTCATTTGAGAATTAAAAGAAAACAAAATGCAATGATAAAAACACACGCAAACAAAACATGATGAATAATATAAAAGAAGTATTTATATATTTGTTCACAACGGACATTCGGACAGACTATAGAATGAATAACAAAAGAAAAAAAAGATGAAAAAAAAAATAACGAAAGACTTTTGGGTCTAAAGGAATGAAAATTAATAGGAAATAATATACTTGAAATAAAAAAATGGAACGTAGATGCTATATATGTATATAAATAAATAATCACAATCTAGTCACAATAATATCAGGATCATCTGAATCATCATCGTTCATATTCGAATAATTAGATGATGGCATGGGTGGTCTTTGAGAAGAGACAATAAATGGTGAATTCTCGCGTTTTATTTTTGAAGTCATTAATTTTGAAATACCCGATTCAGATCGATAACTAGCTGCATAGTCTAATATAAAATAATATAATACAAATATTCAGAAAAAAATAGATAAGATATTTACCATAATGTCTTAGAGAAGGTGAATTCAATGTTCCATTCGGTTTTCCATTCAAATCATTACTACTAAAACCAACTGGTTTAGGTCGCCAACGACTAGTTGTTCCATTTGTATGTGATTTAACTGTATTTGATGACGAAGAATTTAGACTTTTCGTCGATTTTTTATTATCTAACTCGATATAACCTAATTTACGATAGGACTTAAATAAATGAAGACTGGTATCAAAAAATCGTGAATCATTCGTGAATATAATTTGATAATTTCGAGTATCATTATATAAAACATTGGATGGATCTATTGTTGGTTCATTCATTCGTTTATTTGACATTGGACCCGATGATGATGTTGTATTAACACCAATTGAACGTTTTACAGACATAATTAGAAAATGTTAAGAGTTTTTATTCTCATAGAATAAGACAATCATAATATATTTGTATATACATATATAACTAAAGAGCATCTACATCTGATAAAAACGAGTCACTGATAAACCTAGTCTTTATTATTTTTTTTTCTTTCATTCTCTCTTTTTGTTTTTCTCTTCTCTACTATTGAAAAAAAAACATGCGTTACATGTCATGCACCTATGATTTGACGTATTCACTAGATGACGCTAATTCACAATTTCGTTTTCTTTTTTGTCGATACAGATACAATAGAATCAAAATGATTGTTGAATAAATTAAGATAAAAGAAATATTTATTACAAGTACTTGAAATTTAGTAAAATAGCTATTTAAATTTTATAACCAAGATACGGATTTTATCGACACAAAAAAAAGTCTCTTTGTTTTAAATATCTTCGACAATTATTAACAAAATTCAAATGTAAATCTGATAATCAAAAAAAAACACAACTGAATTTATTATTTCCTCGTTATTCATAACAATCAATTGAATAATTGAAATTTCATTTTTTTTTCAAGAACAAAAAAAAACAGAGAACTTCAATACCAGACAAAAACTACTCATCAAACGGTCAAGTTGTTTTGGTCAATATCATTCTTATGTAATTGGCACTACAGATGAGTGTATATGACACAATCCAGTTCTTTTTTTTTCACTTTGTTTTTTGTCATAACATATAAAGATGGTTGTTGTTTAATTTAGTATCGTCGAATGACTACTATTCGTTTCATACTTTAATTACATTTACTGATTTACTTTCAAGTTCAAAATTATACCTCTACAAAACATATAGTAGACACCAGTTAGATTTCCTATGGCTCGTTTGATTATGTCATATGACACAATAACAACAACGTTAGGATTCATTTTGACTCTTCTCTCCTTTTTTGTATATAAATACTTTTAGTCACCATCGTATATTTCATTATTTGACCATCTATGTATAAATATCGATATATATATTCAATCTGCATATAGATGCTTACTATACTAATGATGATCATCAACTCAAATGTATGTCATACTTGTCGTCGTCTTTTGTTTTTGATTGAAATAAATCTGTTAACACTTTTCGCACTTTTCTCGTACGAATAAATGAATATATACGTTTGTCGCTAAATGATGTCTAAGCTTTTTACGCGTCTCTTGCTCTTTTTTTTTTTTCTTCTTGTCTTTATCGCTTAAGCGATTTAAATGATCAAGTGAATAGTTTTGTATCGTCACAAAATAAAGTACAATACTAAAGTGAACAACAATAATAATCGCTTGTCGTCGTCGTTGTTGTCATTATGTATAGTACTTATCTATGAATGTAACATAATGAAAGATTTTATATATATTCTATTTTAATACCTTTAAGTATTAACAAAACCTTTTTTTTTGTTTTGTCTTTTTATTTAAAAAAATCAAAATATAATTTTGAATAGTTTGATAAAACTGAATCATTTTCATTTTGGTATGTATATATATACAATTTTATTTATAAGCCATATTAAAGAAATGACGATTGCACAAATATAATCGTTTAACTTAACATTTCGTTTTACTCGTCTTGATAATGAGTAGTCAGTGATCAACACTTTTCGTTATTTCTCATCGATATAACTATGACTTCCACTCACTCCAGAAGACCTAGTCATCACTGACATCATAAGAAAGTTGATGACGCCATAGTATACTATAGTAAGCAAAGCAAATCACTGATTGAGCATATATTCTCTTTTCTCTTTCTCTAGAGAGAGAGAGAGAAAGGAGGGAGGAGAAAAGAGAAGAAATCTCATCTCTTTCGTTCTTCTTTCTCATTTCGCATAGCATATTATACGAAAAGGACCATAATATACATTCACACATTATTATATAGTATTATCCATCGTTGTCATCTATCTATCTATTACTATTAATATAAATTCAATTGATTTTCTAATACAACAAATATGAAGTAAGTTCTTTATTATTTTATTTTTAAACAAATATCTATACATACATATATGTTTTTTTGCTATGAAAATAATCTTCCTATATTCTATATTACATTGCGTTCGATTTCAAATGTAATCGTATGTACTTGAATGCTTCCTTTCTTTTAAAACATCTATATGTATATTCGTCAACCGATAATTGAACTCTAAAGTACATGTATATATGTATACATATACACAGCTTGATATATAATGTTCACATCTTTTCGCATCGTTTCTGCTAAGATGATCGCACATAATGGTATATAGTAGACTACCTACCTTGATCAATGTCGCATCTAATTTTATTCTCTTCATTTCAATCAGATTTTTTGATACACTTTTGTACACGATACAAAACGATAGGAGATGTATGTGTCAAGGTTCTTCCTCATTGATTCGAAAATAATTTATGAACAAGTCTATTCATATGACGAGCGATTATACTGATAACAAACGTAGTCAATGACGCAAGTACGTGCCAAGATTCATAAAAGTCAAATCTCTTTCGATGATTAACCTTGAATAACTAAATTGCATGTCTCTTATAATACTGCCAAATGATCATTATTCGTTTTTATATAATTACTTTTTTTTTGTTGACTATACACGAACAATCATCATTAGACGTGTGTCTTTTCTTCCCTCTTTCTGTCTATCGTTTTCTCTTTTTCGTATTTCTTCATTTACTGCATTAATCAAAAGATCTTTCTTGTCGTCGTTGTCGTCTATTATCATCGATGTTGTCAACTAGCTTTTAACTTTGAAAACGAATGGACCATATGGATAGTAGGAGACATAGTCCCGAAGGCGGTCAATATATGACAAATACCAGATAAAATTGACCTTTTTATAATAGACCGTGAGAGAATATATAAGACGATTAGGAAGTACGATGACAATCTGTTTTCTTTTGCATAAAATCAAGACGAAACTACTTGTCTTTTTTATCCCCGCCTTCGAGCATACATAATAAATACAAAGTAAGAGCTTAAATTCGTTGAAAAGGCCATGAACATATCTTTTATTCAAATCTATATATATATATATAGATGTATGTATATATACATATACATATGAACGAGAACAGATTTCGTTTTGCTCGTCTGGAAATCAATTTATCATTTATTTTTTTTCATCATATTCATATTCGCTTTTTGTATACTTGCCTTCTTTTAAAAGCATTTTGTATAGTATAATTCAGTTTAATGATTATGCATTTCGCTGTCCATTTTTTTTCTCTTCTCTATTTTGAATTGAATAGTGATGATGTAATCTCTTGTGTGAACACACACTTTTGACCATAATGGCACAGCAGCAAGTAGTATGACACTTTACTACCTGTATATGTTTCTTGGGATTGAATTAGGGTTTTTTTCTTTCTTTGCTCATAATATCATGTAAGAGAGATGAGATATTTTATCAAGGGAAATCGTATGAATTGAACATTGTGATTTGTACCAATTCTGGCTAATGTATCTCTTGTGTTGATGATGAACATTAGAATGAATGATGTCCATATAAATATAATGATATGTGATTTGTTTTATTTTTATGAGAATAAGAAAAAAATTAAGACGAAAGGTATTGTATTGAACGATATGATTAGTGATGAAGGAAAAGCCGTCTTATTAACCTTGTTGTACATATTAGTACTAAGATGAATTGAAATTGGATACTCAACATGTATATTTAAAAGAATGGACAAACAAAAAAAGAAAGAACTGAGAATATAGATCGATTCACCTTGACCCTGACATTTGCAGTTCTTCTTTATTTATTGTAAAAAAAAGACAATTGATACTACTAATATTTGAAAACAAAAAAAACGAAAGAAGAAAGAATCGTTTTTTTTTTCGTTTAAACTTAAAGAAAGAAAACGATTGACTAAATGTGATTCGCTTGCCAGACGTCTCGACAATGATGATAATAGTTGTTCTATTGATCAGTATGCCACTATTTTTAATATCGAAATTGGACACGCCTTGTGTCTAATTACAGTGTCTCTATACCTTTTTATTTTTCTTAAAGTTTACTCGATTTTCTATGCCAGTATGTTGACTGTAATTACAAAATAAGTCTAGTCGAAAGATTATTTTTCATTTTTTTTAGTTTTTATTTAGATGGTTAAATATATGAACATTCGTACAAGATTGAAAATGATTTTTCTAATTTATTTTATTTTTACTATTAAATCGATTGATACTAGTACTCAAGGTATATTAAATTTTAACACATTAGTTTCGGGTAACTAATTATATACTTATAGTATGTAATGGTCCATTGGGTATGACTAGTGGTGAAATACGTGATTGGCAAATAACAGCATCATCAACACTTTGGGATTCTGATTGTCATGAAAAAAATGCTCGATTATATCAACCATCAGATCGTGCTTGGTGTGCACGACATAAATCCGATTCTGAATGGTTACAAATTGATTTGGGTATTTCTGCTAAAGTTAGTAGAATAAATTTTTCCTTTTAAATTATGAATTATTTAAATATATTTATATAGATATCAGGTGTATTAACACAAGGTCGAGCTAATAAAGAAGAATATGTTATATCATTTATGGTATCATATAGTACAGATGCATATCGATGGCAATATCTTGTTGATCGTTATGGAAATCAAAAGGTATAATATATTATATATGATGTATAAAAATCATTAGAATTTTGTGAAAGCAAACTGTTCTAATTTTTAAATCTTTCAGACATAGAAGATGATATTCAGATACAAAGCGAACATTTATCCATGAAAAGGCGGAACTAATTCTATGGCACATAAAAACCATCGGTTACTAAGTCTTGTTGAATTTTTATTTGTAATAATGTCTCTTTGGTTTCTTTGACTATTGAAAGACACAGATGTTTGAGATGCGCCGTCCTCGATTTATTCGATGTTCGTCTGTCATGTCAACGCTCATTGTTATTATACAAAGAGCTGTTAAATGTATCAATAAATGAACCCATTAATCCAGAATAATCTTTAAAAAGCTAAATTTGTTCATGATTTCTTCCCTTAGATAGTATGTTCTACAATGACTTATCATCGTATAAAAAAATAACAAACTAAATTTAAGATCTCTGTTTGATATATAAATCGATAGATTTATTTATAAAAAGATATGAGATATTTTTTAACAAATAATTGAGTATTATATTTTATATTTTAATAGATATTTTCTGCCAATACAGATTCATATTCTGTTCGTCATAATTATTTTGACGAAGCAATTATTGCACGTTTTATTAAATTTCATCCAATTCAATGGTATTCTCATCCATCGTTACGTGTTGAAATTATCGGATGTCAAGGTTTGAATTCTTAATCTTTTATTCGATCTCTTATTATTGTTTCTTTTTTAATATATACTATAGAATGTAAACAATATTTGGGTTTACCACCATATGGAAAAATCAGTGCATCAACTTCATGGCCATATCGTCGACGTGCATCATGTCAACCAGAAGATGGTTATATAATGAGTAATAAAGGATGGTGTTCCAGAAAACGATATAGTCAGTTACAAATAAATATTTTCTTCTATAAATAATGTTTATGTTTTTTTTGTTCTTAAGAACATGATCAATGGCTTGAATTTGATTTGGGTCATCCATCGACTGTTACATCGTTGATAACTAAGGGTCGAGGTGATACAACTCAAGATCAATGGGTTACAAAATATAAAGTTTCATTTTCAAATGATACTCGTTTATGGCTCTATTATAAAGATAAATCACAAATTGAACCAAAAGTTTGTTTATTTTTTTTTCTTTCGATGATCAATACACATTATCCTTCAAATTAATTATATTCATAGGAATTTTCTGCCAATAATGATCGTGATAGTGAACGTATACATTTTTTAAATGAACCATTCTTTGCTCGATACGTTCGTTTACATCCAGTTGAATGGCATAATCATGTTAGTATGCGTGCAGCTATCTTAGGATGTCCACATCAAGGTAATCTTATATGAAATTTAAAACATAATTAATATTATTGATATATTTAGATGCATGTTTTCCAGGTTATTTTCGTGTAAATAGTGAAGCTCAATGCGGTAAATAAACTTTTGTTTTCTCTAAATATCTTATAAAAAAAATTTCTCTTTGTCTAGTGGAAAATATGGCATATAAAAAACAAACATGGACAAATGATCGAAATCGTCATCAACAATCAACTGGTGCTACTACTGAATTAAAATCGCGTAGTGCACGAGAAACAAATGGTGATCCATCATTAGCTGTCGATGGTTTAGAAGAATCATTAGATTGGTCAAAATGTGCTACAATTGATAATTATTTTGTTCGTAAACCTGTCTGGATGGTTGATTTAGGTCGAGTAACAAATATAGCTGGTGTTATGTTAAGAACATGGCATGCAAATAATAAAGGTTTGTTTGTTTTGTTATGAAAATGAATAAGATACAAATATGTTTTTGAAATTATTTTAGCTAACAGTTCATTAATATCATCATCTATCTATCGAGATTATTTAGCTAATTTAGATCGATATAATGTTTATGTGGATCAACGTCCACGTCGATATCGTTTTAAAAATGCTAATTTATGTTCATTTATAACACGTACTGATCAAGCATTAACTTCATCATCTCGTCTTCATTTTCAATGTCAACGTGCATTACGTGGTCGTTTTGTTTATATTGAAGCAGATGGTATAACTGATCGATGGAATAAACTATTTACTGCTGTTCTTTGTGAAGTTTTTGTTTATGAGCAGTAGTTTAAAATTAGTCTTTGTTTTCTCTTTTTTCTGTTTCTTCAATTGTCAGATTATTTCATTTCTTGTATGCATGAGTGTGTCTGTCTTACATTAGATTTTCGTTTTTCTTTTGTCGATTTTGTTTTGTCAAGTGTATTATACAAAGATTATAATAAAGAAAAGAAGAATTAAACTTATTATTCTAAAATTCATTGATATCATATTTTATGAAGAGTGATGAACTATGGAAATAAAACTTTAAAGGAGAAATACCCTTTTTCAAAAATTTGTATAGTGAGATAATATTAATTGTATTAATATTGAATAGAAGAGAAAATCAGACGATATTTCTAATGAAATTTTTAAATATATCAAATTACTTGAATGAAGGATGGTTTTATTGCAACTAAATTCTCCAAATTGGGAAATGGTATAAATTTCAAATCAATCAGAATTAAATGAAGATAGTCTACATGGTAGTTCTTCTTTGTTTATACAGCAGATTAGCGGTATTTCGCAGTGTTAGGAAAGTCTAAACATAGTGCATAATAAAAATTTCCTTGTTTTATCATTATTCATTATCAGAGTTTTTTCTATACATTCCAGTGCGTTTACCTTGTTATTTTTTCTGTTTTCCTGTTTTATGTCTCAAGAGGTGCTCAGAGAAAATGTTATGCATGATCTCATCGCAAAAAGATGAAAAATCAGTCAAGTATACAAGCTATCAGTGCGAAGCATGCAATGTTCAATTATGCATAATTGACTGTTTCGAAGCGTATTATACCCTAAAACACCTTTGATTGAATAAACATCTGTTCTGGCGTTTTCCAAAGAAAAATCTGCCAAAAAAAATGGTTAAGCATTCTATATGATTTCGATATCATGAGACACAATAAATAAAATCTTATTAATTATTTACAGTCATTTTTAAGACATACGAATCATAATATAGATAGTTTACTTTTATGTGATATTTCATTGTTCCCCTAGCCAAAAAAACAGACATAAGATCGTGTTAGTTATTGCAAGATCTGACGCGTACAAGATTTTTCACCTGATCTTGATACAAAATCGGACAATAACATATATGTTATTTTTTTTCAAGATTCTAGCAGATTCTGAACGTCATATGCAAGCTAAAATCTTACAAAAATCAGACAATCAGATTCGTATTGGATCGGACTGAGTGTTGCTTACAAGATTTTATCAGATTCGATATGAATCAGACCAGATGAAACATATAATACAACAGAATGTCAGATCTTGTCTGTTCTTGTACGATCATATATAATTTCTATTTTATTCGAGAATTGCTAATATAATGGTTTCATTGTGATATATATAGTATACAATGGATGAA